GGAAGTGGCGGAGGGAAGCGGGTCATCGAACCGGAACTGAACCCGAAAACGAAAGCAGAGTTGACGTTGGTTATTTGGTTTTACGGGTGTAATGCACGGGGAATTAGTAAAAGATCCGTAGGTCCGCGACCCTTTAACCTCACGAAAAAAAAGTACAATCACGGTGGTAAACGAGGATTGGAGAAAGTGCAGCTGAAATGAAATATGTCGTAATAGCAGATGACAATTTGTAAAACTCCTTCAAATATTAAAACATAATTTAAAAGGAAGAAGTAAAAGGGTAAATACATCTCTGTTGTTTTTACGTACATACGATAGAATTTTATATTATTGCACGTGATGGCTAGAACAGATTGAAACCGCTCTAATATTGAAATTCTATAATCTGTATATCTTCTGTGTTGAAGTCAATTGTATTGGAAATATTTTCTTTCATACCGTGTGGGGTTGAATTCATATTCGATTCTACAATCATTTGCGTAGTCTGCCAATTGTGTGAATTGTGTTACTATATAATACAACAATGTTACAGAATGTCGATATTCATATGAAAACGTACGGACAAAACCGGACAATTCCTCCACTACTTCTGGACTCTGTCACATATGGGCGCACAGTCACAAATTCCTTCAACGTATTGTCTAGCCTTTCGCGATAGGCGTTTGAGAACAGGATAGATTTGGTGATACTCTGAGAGATCGGCTTTCAAATTTCAGCGCCCAATGGTAAGCAAAAACGTATTGCCAGATGTGGGGTTCGAACCCACGCTCCCTCTCGGGAACCAAAGCTTAAATCTGGCGCCTTAGACCGCTCGGCCAACCTGGCACACATACGAATCATTTTAGGGTAAAAATTCGCGTATCCGATTACGTTGTCACGTCGTTACATCGAATCTTAAAACATCTGAAATTTCTACGGGTACTTATACTCATCCTTTTGACAACTTTTGACGCCTCTGTCCTCCAGAAGCCTCTGTGCGCACGCACTAAAATTCCCGAAATATTTCGCCACAAGCAAAGGAGTAAATATGGTAAGCGTGCAGTTGCGAGCTCTGTCCGATGGAATGTATGTTCGAATTTCGCTTAGACATGGTTGTTTAAAGAAGTATCGCATCATTGTTTGAAGCGGCATGAGAAAAAGTGCACGTTCCACATAAGCGGTTTCATTCTCTAATCCTGTATGTTGGAGGCGGATCCTAGAGCGAAGAGCGACAGAACCCAATATCTGTGTATCACCTGTTAACCATAATTCTTTCGTATAAAACAGACAGCAAGAGTAACTGAGTCTCTCAGGGATCTTAATGCTTTTTTGCTCGTATGCTGACGATATATTCCCCTTTTCTAGTCTTCTGTAGGGGAAATTCAATAATACGTACGTAATCTATTCTCCTTCAAAACCTCTGAGTGAAACATTTAGTAATACTAAATAACCTTTCACTGACTTATACAAGATCCGTGCAATCCTTCCTGTACCTAATTTGCTGAGTCAGAAAATATAATTTATCTAAATTTTGAATAAATTCTCATAGCTTTCTAATATACTTATCATTACCTTTAACAGTTCCTTTACTTAAAATAAATACATTTCATCTCACTCATAAATTTAATTTCTTCAATGCTGTGTGAGTGCTGTAAACCCTTTTCTATCTACTCCTTCCTCCCTCGTTTATATTCCTGTCTTCAATGTGAAAACCCCCCTCATCAAAATTTTGTACGTATTTCTCTTTGAATGACCTTTATTTTTCATTAACTATTGTATTATTTTTTTTTGTGAAAATGGTTAGGCGGAAGAGCAAGCTAAATGGCCTGAGCCTCG